GGAGGCATCTTGGAGCCATCTTACCCGTCTTGGAGGCCATCTTGGCCGTCTGGGAGGCATCTTGGAGGCCATCTTGGGCCATCTTGGCCGTCTTGGAGGCCATCTTGGGCCAAGTTGGGGCAACAAAGGCATTGACAGACGGATTTTGGGAAAATTACGGGTGGCCGGCGGGACGGGCCGAAGCCCACTGGGGAGTTCTTTTAGAAAAAGAACCAAAACCAAAACCTGAAACATCCAGCACGCCGTGCACCCCTGCAAGCAGGGGGCGGCGGATCCGCAAGGATACTCTAGAGGCCCACGGCCCATCCCGCCACCGTGCCTTGGCATGATCCTGCTGGGGGGACCCTCTGGGATCTATTTGGGAGCTCTCTTTCGGGCTCTCTTGGAAGCTTCTTGGAGCTCTCTCCGAGGAGGGAGGAGGGAGGAGGGAGGAGGGAGGCGGGAGGCGGGAGAAGGGATAAGGGAAAAGAGAGAAGAGGAGGAGGAGGAGGGAGGAGGAGGAGGAGGAGGAGGAGGAGGAGAGGAGGAGGAGGAGGAGGAGGAGGAGGAGAGGAGGAGGAGGAGGAGGAGGAGGAGGAGGAGGAGGAGAGGAGGAGGAGGAGGAGGAGGAGGAGGAGGAGGAGGAGGAGGAGGAGGAGGAGGAGGAGGAGGAGGAGGAGGAGGAGGAGGCGGAGGAGGAGGAGGAGGAGGCCCCGGAGGCCCCGGAGGCTTGAAGAGGGACTCCACAGGGCACCAAGAGGCTCTAAAAGGCCAAAGAGGGCCCTTGAGGCTCTCGAAACAGCCCGCAACGGTGTCCTACCAAAGGTTCCTGGTATGATACTGTTGAGGGCTTTTCTTGTAATGCTGTGGGGGCCCTCTGGGGGCTCGCTTGGGGTGCCCGGGCGATTTCAGACCCTCTTAGATTATTTAGTGGCCTGCGGCCGATTTCGCGACCGTGTCTGGGTAGTGGGACCGAATCTTCATGGATGCTTCTTGGGATCTTTTCGGAGGGCTGTCGGGGGCCTTTCGAGACAGTTTGGAGGCCGCTTGGGAACCTCTTGGGAGCCTCTTGGGAGCGTCTTGGGACTCCCTGGGGGCCTCTTGGGGGCCTCTTGGGGCCTCTTGGGGGCCTCTTGGGAGCCTCTTGGGGCCTCCAGGGAGCCTCTTGGGGCGGTGAGCTCAAAATGTCGGTTCGTGTTCGCCCTCTGGGCCCCCTCTTCGCATTGAACATATCGCTCGCAGACCTGAGGCCTGAGACCTCCTCCTTTCTCCTCCTCTTTCTCCTCCTCCTCCTCCTCCTCCTCCTTCTCTTCCTTCCTCGTTATCCCCCTCCTCCCCCTCCTCCCTAGTTATCCCCCTCCTCCCCTCTCCATTTTTTTCCTCATGAATATCTCCTCCCTATCGCGCCCCGAGGCTTGTCGGTAGGGCGGGCCGGGCGTTTGCTTGAGAACTCCTCACCGTTGATGACCCTTGAGCTGAGAATTTGCAGCATTTTTCAAAATGTGGCCCTCGCCTTAGCGCCTGCACATTTTTTGTTTTGATTGCACGAGTTCTACGGGTGGAGGGTGGTTGGCTTTCAACATGTGGTTCTCGCCGTAGCGCCGCTCACATTCGGCCTGAGATTTTGCAAGAGTTTCACGGATGGAGGGCGGGTGGTTTTCGAAGTGTGGCTCTCGCCTGGGCGCTGCGCGCATTCGTTAAAGCTAATGGCAAGAGTTTCGCGGATGAAGGGCGGGCGGTTTTCAACATGTGGTCCTTGCTGTACAGTCGGGGCCCTGAAGAAGGAACCCTTCTCGTTGGGGAGGGGCTCCGTGTTCCTTAAGTGTTTCGCAGCTTGCCTTGGATGTTCCTTAGGTGTTCGACACGGAATCGAAGTTCAACTTATGGAAAATAGGGGCCTCGTTCCTTATTTGGGGTCCCTTAGGTCAACGCCCCGACTGTAGCGCCGCGCACACTCACGGATGGAGGGTGGACCTCTTCAGCATGTGGCCCTCGCCCTGCCGCCGGGCGCAGTCGTCTTCTTGTTTTACAGCAATGTCAAAGATTCGGATGGCTTGCGTCGAGGAAAGGGTGTTTTTTGGTACGATGCAGGGATTGCCAGGGCGCAACAGCTACGTTGATCTACGTGGTTGAAGTCCAGGAGCTGTGTTTTGGCACGGCTCAGGATCGTTAGGACCCAGCAGTACTGTTCACTCGCGCCCCCGAAGTCCTAGGAATGGTTCTCTGGCACGGATCGCGGGTTTTCAGATGTTTTTGTCCTCCAATGGGGCACTTCCCTCAGTAAAAATCAACCGTTGTAGGGACCCGTGAAGAGAGAACTTGGAGGGAGGTTTTATTGCATCATCGTTGATGAGTCTTGGGTTACACTGGTCCTCCTCCTCCTCCTCCTCCTCCTCCTCCTCCTCCTCCTCCTCCTCCTCCTCCTCCTTCTCTTCGTCCTACTCATCCCCCGACCTCCCGTTCCTCCTCCGCCCTTTGCCTCGTACCCTCCCCCCCTCCTCCCCCTTTCCTCTCTTCTCCCTCCTCCCCCTCCCCCCTCGACCCCGCCCCCTCCTCCTCCCCTCCCCCCCTCGACCGAGGCGCAGCGAGAGCAAATATGCAGAAACAGAGCCGAGGCGATCCGACGGAGGCACCTAAGCGGGTTGCTTTTTTTATCTGCAGCTCCCTATAAGGAGCTCCCCATCCCCATGGGGTACCAATGGGAGTAGTGTGCAGCGTCCCCTTCCAGAGGAGGCAGGCCCGCGACGGCCGCGCGTGTAGCGTGCGGCAGTTTGACCAGACAGCATAGGCGTCCGCCTCTGTGCCCGACCGACCCCCCCCCCCTTTCTATCCCCCCCCCTTCCTCCAGGTCGCAGAGGTCCCACAAGTTTCGCCTTTCCGACTGCACATCGCACGATGAGGTCTCGTGTGGAGTTCCAGGTCGACTGTGACACGCGCCCGCGGGTATATAGAGGGACGAGGGCAGCGCAGAGCGGGAAGGGATAGGGGGGCGAGGCGTCGGCTGCCTGCCAGACGAGGCGCGAGCGCACCTGGCCTGTCGCCCCCCTCCCTCTCCTCCTCCCTCCTCTCTCCTCCTCCTCCTCCTCCCTCCTCTCCTCCTCCCTCTCCTCCTCCCTCCTCCTCCTCCCTCCTCCCTCCTCCTCCCTCCTCCCTGGCGGCCATGGCGAGCCCGCCCCCGCGGCCGGCCAGCGCCGCGGCCTCCTCCAGGCAGCAGTCTCCCGGAGCGCGCCGGGGCGCGGGGGAGCAGCGGCCGCCGCCCGCGCCGGGCGGCGGCCGCGGCGTGGGGGGCACAGGCGCCCCCGCGGACGACGACGACGCCGACGACGAGGACGACGACGACGACGAGGACGAGGACGACGACGAGGGCGACGACGACGACGACGACGAGGACGACGACGAGGACGACGACGACGAGGACGCCGACGCCGACGCCGACGCCGACGCCGACGCCGACGCCGACGCCGACGACGACGACGACGATGCCGTCAGTGGTTCGATCGGGCGGCGCCTGCGTGGCCCCCGCCCGCGCGGGCCACGGCGGCGCCTGCGCCATCCCCGGCGGCGGCGGCGGCGGCGGGGGCGGAAACCAGAGCAGGAGGAGGAGGAGGAGGAGGAGGCGGAGGAGGAGGAGGCGGAGGCGGAGGCGGAGGAGGAGGAGGAGGAGAAGGAGGAGGCGGATCGAAGGCGAGTGCACGCCCTTCGAGGTCGGGTTTGTCGCTTCGGTTGCCCTGGCCCTCGTGCCTGCGGCTTCGCCGCTATTTCTCGTGCCCACGCCTCACTGTCATCCTCTTCCCTCCCTCGTCCTCGATCCCTGCCGACCAGATCCGACGGTGAGCCCTCGGTTCCTTCAATCATCCGTCCGGCTTGCTCTCTCGTCGATCGGCCATTCGACGAGTCGTGCCGGCCTCTCACCTCCTTGTCAACAAAGTTATGGAGGGTGGATGGCGAAGGGCACCCGTCTGTTGCTGTTGCGGCTCGGGCGTTTCAGGCTGTGGTCGTCGCGAGACGAGATCGTCCTGCTCCTTTCTTCCTCTTCTTCCTTTTCCTCTTCCTTATCCTTCCTCCTGGTGGCCGTGTGGTCTCCTGGCGATCTCCTTCTTGGGATTGTCCCAGGACCCCGCCTTTCTCGGGGCATCCGATGTGGGAGCTCGCGCGAAATAGGTCAGCACAGAGCTCGAAACAAAGTATTAGCCAGCGTGGACCCCAAACAGCGTGTCCTTAGCAATGTCTGGTGGTGTGCAATCCATGTGGAGCCATGTATGTTGTGCCCACCTCTTGGCTCAAGCAGTTCCCGGTCCTCAAGCGTGTCCCGCATCGGCCTTTCTCCTTCCTCTGTGCTTCCCGGACATTTCCTTTCTCTCGCTGCCATGCCGCCATGCCGCATACGGCAGGTTCGCGTCGTGTCGACCTGCGACGACCCCGCCGCCGACGTTCAACGCTGAACGCCGCCGGCGACCCAGAATCGGTCGATGTGAAGCGATCCGAAGCTTCGGAAGCCGCCGATCGTTCAAGGTTCAACGATCCCATCGGTGTCAGGAACCAACGCCCAGGTCGTCACGACGCGAACTTGCCGTATACACCCCCGTCGTGGTGTGCCGGGCGGGGCGCTCCTGGGCCCCGCTTGCTGCCTCCCGCCGCGTGGAGCGGCGGCGGCAGCCTCTCAGCGGCGGCAGGTGCCCGATCGCCGCGGCGGAGACACCACGGACGTGGAGGATGGCGAGAGCGCAGGCGCCACGCAGGGCGTGGCGGACCTGCAGATGAGCGTCCTCCTTCTCCTCCTCCTCCTCCTCCTCCTCCTCCACATGGAGGATGGCGAGAGCATACTCCAGATTTCGTAATAAAGGGAGGGGGGTCTCATTTCGGGGGGGGGTCTCTTCCTGGCTATCTTGGAGGGCCTGGGGGGGGTCTGGGGACGACGTTTGGGAGGGTTCTCCCACGGGGGGGGTCTAAAACTTCTCGTCTGGGAGGGTTGAGACCCCCTCCCTTTTATTACGAAATCTGGAGTAGGCGCCACGCAGGGCATGGCGGGCCTGCAGATGAGCGTGACGCTGGCCGAGCTCGACGCCATCGAGGTTGACGAGGCCACCATCGAGGGGACTGCGGCGGCTGGGGCTGACAGCAGTGCCGGAATGCCCAAGCGCCAGGCTGTTGCCGTTGCCCCCCCGCCGGGCTCAGGCGACTCCACCGGAAGGGCGCTGCAGGCTTCATCGGGACCGCCCCCGCAGTACTTCACGCTATCGGGCCAGTTCTTCCAGAACTGGCACCAGCAGGAGGTTCTTGCGCACTTCGACCTGGTGGCGGCTGCCTTGGCTAGCACTCCGGACGCGCCCAATGGTGTGGCGGAGTGCTGCAGGAACTGGACTGCGTTTCGTGTCGTTCTGATCAAGCTGGGCTACGCGTCGGCCTCCTCTGACCCCTGGAAAACAATGGCCTGGTGCCTTCGGCGCAGGCCTTTGCGGCCCGTGAGCGCACGGCAACACAGCGGTACGCACTTGGGCAGAAGGCGGGCTGGACAGCGCAAGACAAGGACGAGACCGCGGTAGCTGCACGGCACTTCCCAGGGGTGGCGGCCGCCTGCGTTGCGGAGCTCCTAGAGGTACTGGAACGTCGAAGCCTTCGGATCGGCTCCCTCACGCTCTGGAGGGAGCTCGGGCAGGATGCACTCGACCTTCTACGACCCGCGCAAGGTATTCCGGACGTATGATTCCTCGCTCAGTGGTCCACCCTTCTCACGCCGTCCCAGCCGACCCCCAGGGACATCGAGTCCACTCGCAGGGTGGCTACGCTCTTGGAGAAAGGCGACAAGAGGGTATGGGAGCCGCTGGTGGACCAGCACATGGTAGCTTGGCTCCTGGAAGACGTGAACGCCGCGACGCGCTGCCGGCCAGCGCTGCTTCGTCGAGTGCCCACGGGAGCGCAACTGACCTCGCTCCTGTTCGTGGTGCCGCTTCCGCTCTTCCCAGGCGCCCACGCGGTCCCAGTTATTCTGGACAATTGGTGGTGCCCTCTGCTGGGAGAGACACGGGCACCATTGGTGCGCAAGGCGGAGTTCATGGACATGCCGCTGGAGACTCGAGACGGTTCTTCCCGCGCTGGCCTCCCCGAGGTATGCCAAGATGGGCCTCGCACTCTTCACGACTGCCTTTGCGGGCGCGCGTGTCCCCCCTGCGATGCGCAGCTGCAGACCGCCCTTGCTTCAGTCCGACGGAATCTCCAGCGTGTCCTTCGACATGTGTGCAGATGGCATCATGCATGTCACGACGCTGATCAATCAACCACTGATGCATGGCGCTATTTGGCGTAATCCACGGCGCATTCCTGCGTGCACTTCGGCGGAAGTGCTACACCAGAGAAAACTCCAATCAGTGGATGGCTTGAAAACTAGTGGTATGAATCTTGAGATCGATTGTGAGATCGATCGTGAGATCGATCGTGGGATCGATAGTGAGGACGATAGTAAGGTCGATCGTGAGACCGCTAGTGCAGTCGATTGAGTGAGGTCGATCGTGAAATCGATCGTGCGATCGCTCGCGCGATCTATAGTGACATCGATTGTGAGATCGACAGTAAGATCGATTGTGAGATTAATCGTGTGTTTGATAGAGAGGTTGGTAATGCGATCGATGGTGAGACTGGTCGATCAGGAGATGGACCAGGAATCCAGGAATTGTTGACGCTTCGCGAATCCCCACCAGCCCATCCAGAAACGATGCCCAGAGGAATTACCTTGACCAGGGAAGTGGGCAGCACGCAGAGGAAACCATTATGAGACATCTTGGGGTATCTGGAGCCATAAGGGGCCAACATGTGGCTAAAACCTTCGTAATATCAAGGATGTGGCATTCCCGCCGGGGCCTCTTGGAGCATCTTGGGTGCCTCTGGGGGGTCTCTTGGGGCCTCTTGGGGGTCTCTTGGGGGCCTCCTGGGGGCCTCCTGGGGGCCTCTTGGGGCCATCTTGGAACATTGATGAACGCCCCCCTCCCAGGAGGCCAACATGGGGCCAAAACGTAGTAAAACCAATGAATTTGGCTTCCTCGCCGACGCCATTTTGGCATTCTCGCCGAGGCCTCTTGGAGCATCTTGGGTGCCTCTGAGGGGGCCTCTTGGGGCCTCTTGGGGGTCTCTTGGAGGCCTCCTGCGGGCCTCTCGGGGGCCTCTTGGGGCCATCTTGGGGCCATCTTGGGATTTGTTGGGGCCTCTAGGGCGCTTCTTGGGGCCATCTTGGAGGAGATCGATTAGAGGAGGGGGGTGTTAAATTAGCGTCCCCCCCAAAAAAACAACATGGGGCCAAAACGTAGTAAAACCAATGATTTTGGCTTCCTCGCCGAGGCCGTTCTGGACGCCCTAGCACCTCGCGACTCCCCCCCGTCCAGGTCCAGGGGAGGGGGTAGGGGGAGGGGTCAAGTTACCCCCTCCCCGCCCGCAAGCCGTCTCGCTCACTCCCACCCGCCCTCCCAACACATACGTAGCACCCGAGTCTGGCCCGAACCTCAGCATATTCAGCAGTCGTCTTGGGATGGGCAGCTACTGGGGGCCAATCCGCCGCCGCCGCCGCGCCGCCGCCGCCGCCCCGCGCCGCCGCCGCCGCTGCCGCCGCCGCCGCCGCCGCCGCCGCCGCCGCCGCCGCCGCCGCCGCCGCCGCCCGCCGCCGCCGCCGCCGCCGCCGCCGCCCGCCGCCGCCGCCGCCGCCGCCGCCGCCGCCGCCGCCGCCGCCGCCGCCGCCCCCCCGCTGCCAAACCGCCGCCGCCGCCGCAGCCGCTGCCGCTGCCGCCGCCGCCGCCGCCGCCGCCGCCGCCGCCGCCCCCGCCCCCGCCGCCGCCGCCGCCGCGCGCAGCCGCCGCAGCTGCCGCCACCGCCGCCGCCGCCGCCGCAGCCGCCGCCGCCGTCAAGTGTACTCTGTATTGTGTTTTGACAGGGATGGTGGGGGGGGGCCGCATCGGGTTGGCTGCGCATGTTCCGAATTTTGAGGCAGAGTGTGTTTTGTATGGTTTTTTACAAGGGATGGTGTGTGGGGGGGGTCGGCATGGACCTTGGTTGGCCCCCAGTCGCCTGGGGGAGGGGGTGTTTATTAATAGGGAACAATGATAAACCCTTCCACGAATGGGAAGGAGGGGTGGAAGAGGAAACGCTCTAAACCACCGACGCCCAGAGGGCTGGTGGGATTTGGAGGCTCGGGGAACCCTGCCGCCCATCGAAATCGGCCCAGAACTAGGAATTGGGAACCTGGGAACCCGGAGCCGGGAACCAGGAACCTTGGAACCAGGCCGCCCACCGAAATCGGCCGGAAACTTTCGCCAAATCTTTCAACATCCGCTGGGATCGGGCCGAACGAAACGGGGGGATAGGGAAAGGGGGGTCTACGAAATCTACTGCATGCAGCTGGTTTCGGCCCCGCCGCGGGGCCCATTCTTCGATGCATGGGCGCCTCCCGGCGCGGGGAGGCGCTTGGAAAATCAGCTACGTGAGCTGATTCTCTACCCTACCCTTTGCTATCCCCTCCTGTCTTTCCCCCCGATAGGACCCCTTCAGTGCAAGCGCTGATTGGGGAACATCGGGTCTGCATCGACGTGCTCTTCCTTCCCCAAGGAGTGCTCTTCCTTCCCCAAGGATCCTGCAGGCCTTGCGCCCAAACCGTCCGACGTGTCGCTCTGCACCGCCACCGGCGCCAAGACCCTAGAGATCAACGACACAATGGGACTACCACACCTCTGGCCTGTATGTTCTCAGGCATTGGTCCTCGGTTCCAGCAGCTCCAGCCAGGCGTTGGTCATCTCTGGCGCCAGCGGAGAGACGTGGGCTGCCGTAATGGACCGCCTCCTTGCGGAAGACCCGGGGTCCGAAGCTTCCCTTGTGCGGTGGAAGCCCTCGCGGGGTGGCCGCCCTATCGCCACCACGTCTGCCGCGGCAGCTGCTATGGCCGCGACGCGGAAAAAGGCCGACAAGAAACCGGCGGCTTTGGACCTCCTCGCGGAGGTCGCCATTCGCGGGGAGATTAGGCAGGAGGACGGCGGCGTCATGTGGTTGTTCATGATCCACGCCGCGACGGCCAGTGGCATCTGCATCGCCGAAGAGGCAGCGGCTGCGCCTTTGAATCGCAGCGAGCTCGAGCATGTGCCGGTGGAGCAGCACGCAGGGACAGGCGGGCGTGTCGGGGCCCTCTTCAGGGACGCCCAGCAGGTCGCGGGGCTTGTCGCGCACCGGAGGAAGGAGGAGGAGGAGGAGGAGGAGGAGGAGGAGGAGGAGGAGGAGGAGGAGGAGGAGGAGGAGGAGGAGGAGGAGGAGGAGGGAGGAGGAGGGAGGAGGAGGGAGGAGGAAGAGGAGGAGGAGGAGGAGGAGGAGGGAGGAGGAGGAGGAGGAGGAGGAGGAAGAGGAGGAGGTGGAGGAGGAGGAGGAGGAGGAGGAGGAGGGGGAGGAGGAGGAGCGTGCTTGCGCCCAGGGTCACGGGGGCAGGCGCAGAGCCGCCCCGCCTCCGTTCGGTCGGGCGCGCGGGCGGCGTGGGGCCGCGAGCCAGAGCTCATGTCTTGGCGCGCTCGGGCTGCGCGGTTTCCTGGTGATCGTCGTCTTAAGTCGGGCCTGTCTCCCTACAGGGGGATTTTCGACGAACCTTACAAAAAAATATCCCGGCAAAGCAACCTAACAGCGATGTGTAGGAGCATATCTGGAAGCATTCCCCTTAAGATTCAGATGAGAATCCAGTTGTAGAATTCTGCTGTTCTCGCAGTCGTAGTCGCATTCGCGATGACAGTCGCAGTGGCCTGCATCAGCCTCAGCCTCAGCCTCAGCCTGCCTCAGCATCAGCCTGCCTCAGCCTCAGCCTCAGCCTGCCTCTGCCTCAGCCTCAGCCTGCTTCAGCCTCAGCCTCAGTCTGCCTTCAGCCTCGGCCTCAGCCTCAGCCTGCCTCAGCCTCAGCCTGCATCAGCCTCAGCCTGCCTCAGCCTCAGCCTGCCTCAGCCTCAGCCTGCCTCAGCCTCAGCCTCAGCCTCAGCCTGCCTCAGCCTCAGCCTCAGCCTGCTTCAGCCTCAGCCTCAGTCTGCCTTCAGCCTCGGCCTCAGCCTCAGCCTGCCTCAGCCTCAGCCTGCCTCAGCCTCAGCATCAGCCTGCCTCAGCATTCAAAATGTGGCCCGGGAATGGAATTCTGGGAACTCGAAGAAGACGAAGTGGCCTACAGTTGGCTCCGGGCATTCAAAATCATGCCCAGGAGTGGAGTTCTGGGAACTCGAAGACCACGAAGTGGCCTACAGTTGGCTCCAGGCATTCAAGATCATGCCCAGGAATAGAGTTCTGGGAACTCGAAGAGCACGAAGTGGCCTGCTGTTGGCTCCGGGCATTCAAAATCATGCACAAGAATGGAGTTCTGGGAACTCGAAGAGCACGAAGTGGCCTACAGTTGGCTCCGGGCATCCAAAATGTGGCCCGGGAATGGAGTTCTGGGAGGTCGAAGAGCACGAAGTGGCCTACAGTTGGCCCCGGGCATTCAAAATGTGGCCCGGGAATGGAGTTCTGGGAGGTCGAAGAGCACGAAGTGTGTGACTGTTCGCTTAAAACGAGCCCGGCCCTGAGCCCGGCCCTCGCTGTCCGGATGTCGCCCAGACCTCCCTTCTGAGTCATCAGATGCTCTCTTCTGACACCACTAGAAACCTATCAGTCTTCGCTGTTAGGTAAAAACCCAGACATAGTCAAAAGATATTAAAAAATTGTCTGGGGATTATTTTTTGAGTATTTTTTGACCTTCTTGGGGTACTTTTGGGGTATTTTTTATTTTTGTCATCGAAAATCCCCCTGTAGGGGGACACGCCCGACATAATCGTCGTCGTGCGGCTCCTCCCCGCCGAAGCGAGGCGGGGTCGCGCTGGCCTCGCTGGCCGCTCTTCGTCGGGCTCCGCGCGCACTCGCCCATGTTTGAGAGCGCCGCGCAGTTCCGCATCGCCTGCGGCGTTGGCACCCGTTGCTGGAAGTGTGTAGGGCCTTCGAGCTTCCATCCCTCTCTTTATCTTTCCGGGGAGCGCGATGCTGCCGAGCTGCCCCGAGTCTGCCAGGCTGCGAGCTAACGTGCCCTGGGACTGCCATCGGCGCCATGGACTTCGCCGCGCCCTCGTGGCGGCCTCCCTGCGCCCCCTCAGCGTGGCTTTAAGTCGGGCGTGTCCCTCTACAGGAGGAATATTCAAATATAGCCGAAAATATAATCTGGGTACGATTGTTTGATTTTTTGTTGTTTGTGAATGTTTAAAGTTTCACCCCAAATCCGCCTGTAGGGGAACATGCCCGACCTAAGCGTTGCTGCATCTCGTCCCCGGCTCCGCCTGTGACGTCCCCTGGCCGACGGCTTAGGCAATTCAGAGGGGACATCGCGATCGGCACCTGGAGCGCGCAGGCTCTCTTCGCGGCCCGCGACCGCCAGAAAGCACAGAAGATGTCTTACGTCTGGCAGCTGATGAGTAAGCTGGACGGTTTCTCCGAAGGGATTAGGCGACCCGTCCTCCTCCTCCTCCTCCTCCTCCTCTTCCTCCTCCTCCTCATCCTCCTCATCCTCCTCTTCCTCCTCCTCCTTTTCCTCCTCCTCCTCCTCTTCCTCCTCCTCCTCCTCCTCCTCTTCCCCCTCCTCGCCCTCCTCCTCCCCCTCCTCGCCCGCCCCTCCTCGGGTCGCCTGCGGCCCCGGGAGAAACCGTCCAGAGTAAGCTGGACGTCCTCTTGGTGACTGAGGCCCGCCGCGCGGTCGGCGACTACGCGGCTTGCTGCGCCATGGACCGGCGCGCGGGTTGGTGGTCGCCAAGCCCGACCACGCGGCGCGCAGGAGTTGGACTGGTGGTTCGTAACTCTCTACTGGAGCAGTTTGACGCCGCCCCGGCACGGGCGGTCACCTGAAGATGCCGGACGGCCAAGCTCCCTATCTGGGGGCCCGCCTGAGCCATTGACTTGGTTGTCTAGGGGAACAAGAGGTGGCATAAACATAAAACCTCGGAGGTCCGCGCGGATTTCGCGGATCGGCGCTGGACCCCCCTCCCTGGCGCGCGGAGCGCGCCAGGGGCGGCGCCGGAGGCGCCGCCAGTGGGTTCCAGCGCGGATCCGAGAACTCCGCGCGGACCTCCGAGTTTTGTTTTGTTTATGCCACTTTTGGCTCCCCTCATTGCCTTGGTTGCTGTTTTTTCTCTTCGCGCGTGGGCGCAGGTCGCGGCTGTGGACCCGTGCGCCGCTGGGCCCCAGGAGAAGCAGCGCTGCTCGAGCTCCGCCGGCCTGCGCGCGTGCCCCTCCGCGGCGCGGCCTGCGCACCGCTGCCCTCCTCGCAGGAGCGCCTGGGCCGGCCATTGCGTCGCGGATCTCAGGTGCGTGGCGGAGCAGGGCGGTGGACAGGGCCTGACGTCCCTGGAGGAGACTGTCTCGGGGAGCAACAAGTGACAGAAGCACAGAAACTCGACGTCCCTGGAGGAGACTGTCCAGGGGAACAAGAAGCGACAGAAACATGGAGACTCGGAGGTCCGCGCGACTTTCTCGGATCGGCGCTGGGGTCCCCCGGCGGCGCCTCCGGTGCCGCCCCTGGCGCGCTCCGCGCGACAGGGAAGGGGGGCCCAGTGCCGATCTGAGACATCCGCGCGGACCTCCGAGTTCTTATGTTTATGTCATTCATCGTTCCCCGATTGACGTCGCCGAAGGAGCCTGGCGGGAGAGATCACGGGGAAGAGCGGCTCTGACAGTCGCACGTCGGGCTCCCGCTCCACTCGCCCGAGATGTTTCGGGGTGCGTTCGCTCGCGCCTCGGCCTGCGCGCGCTCGCGCCTCGACGGGATCTTCTCGAACCAGCACGCGGTCGGGCAGCTCGCCCTTGGCGGGGAGATCTCTCGGTGTGCCGGGCGGTCTCCTCCTCCAGGCGAGCCTCGCAGCGGCTCCCGCTGCGCCTGCGGCCTCTTCCAGACCGCGCGACGCGCCGCGGAGACGGCGTGCGGCGGGTGCACTCGGGGTTGGCAGGGGGACTCCCGTGGGCTACCGTTCTGGGCCGTTTTGAGGGGAATGACCTCCTCCACCTCTTCCTCGTGCTTCCTCCACCGCCCCCTCCCCTGAGAGGGGGAGAGACCTCCTGCCCCTCCCCCCCTTCGTCATCCTCAATGTCCTCCTCCTCATCCTCTCCTCCCCCCCTCCTTCTCGTCCTCCTTCTCCTGCTCCCTGCTCCCTTTCTTCCTGCAGGTGGGGGCCAGAACAACTTAGGAACGCAAAGAGACCCAATAAACGCCAATCATTTCAAACATGTAGGTCTGAAAATCGAAAAGCACGGAAGAACAACGCCAACAATAAACAACAACCAACACATAATTCAATGTTTCTTCCCAGGGGCGGCGGGGGTGGGCGAAGTTTGGATTTTGTCTTTTCTTTTTTTCCGGCTGCCGTTTTTCATTTCTCCATCATTTTATCACTGATCAGAGTTTTACACTTGTTTTTCACCCTCCGCCTCCCTGCCTCGGGGGGGTGGTGGGCGAGACCGCGGAATCGGCCGCGGGTCTGGCCAATGGTTTCGTACCAAGGTTTCTTGATGCATTATTTCCTATGAAGTACTTCTCACAGAGGGTTCTTGCTAATTAGGGAAACCTCCCTAGGATTCCTTGCTATGAATTCCTTTTGAGGACTCCTCACTACAAGGGCCGCTTGCTAAGGATTCCTTATCGCAGGTCCCTTAGTGCGGATTCCCTCGCCAGGAGTCTTCATGAATGATTTCTTCCCAAACGTCCTTATTACATATTCATTACCAGCAGTTCCTTACTACGGATTCCTTATTCAGGATTCCTTATCAAGGATGCCTGATTAAGGGTCCCCTTTCGAAGGACTCCTTTTTAAGCAAGCATTCCTTACTGAGGATTCCGTACTAAGGGTTCCCTACTGAGGATTCTTTGTCAAGGACTCTTTAGTCAGGGTTCCCATGCAAAGAATTTCTTACCAAGGGTTCGTTGCACAGAATTTCTCAAGGATGCCAATGGTTCCGTATGAAGGATCCCGTGCGAAGGATTCCCTACCAAGAGTTCCTTCCTGAGGTTCTTTAGTGGGGATTTCCTACAGCGGATTTCTTAATAAGGATTTCTTCTGAGGGTTCCTCACCGATGGCCTCTTTTACTACAGATTCCTTAGTGCGGATGCCCCAGTCAGGAGTCCTTACGAACGACTTTTTTCAATGGGGCCCTTGCTAAGGATTCCTTATCAAGGTTTTCTTACGCGCGAATCCACACCAACGGTTTCCTACTAAGGGTTCCTTATCCAGGATTCCTCATCAACTATTCCTGATTGACGATTCCCTATTATTACAAGGGTTCCGGACCAAGGGTTCTGTATTGAGGATTCTTTACTTTTTATTTCTTGTCAAGGGCTCCTCAGCCAGGATTCCCATCTTAAGAATTCCGTGCCCAAGGTTCGTTACCAGGGGTTCCTCACGAAGGGTTCCCATCTAGAGGTTCTTTGCTAAGGATTCAGCACGAAAGAGTTCCCCGCCAAGGATTTCTTTCCAATGGTTCCGTATGAAGGATCCCTTTGCGACGAAGTCCCTACCAATGACTCCTTGCTGACGGTTCCTGATTAGGGATTTCTCATTGAGGATTCCTGACGAAGGATTCCTTCTGAGGGCTTCTCGCCAAGGACTCCTTTCCTCAGGATTCTTTATCCAATATCCATTATCGCGGATTTCAAGGTCCGGAGTCTTTACGAAGGATTTCTTGGTAGAAGGGTTCTGTATTAACGATTCTTTATCAAGGGTTCCCTGCGCACGATTCCTTACCAACGGTTCCATAGTAAGGGTTCCTTATCCAGGATTCCTCACCATATATTCCTAGGATTCCTTTTTGGTCAAGGCTTCCTTGATCTGGACCCTTTGCCAAGTATTCCTGAATAGGGGTTCCCTATCAAGGATCCCTCATACAACGGCGTCCTTACCCAGGATTCCGTACCTGCGATTTTCCACGGGGGACAACTTAATAAGGATTCCGTAGCAGGGATTCCTCATGGAGGGTTCCTTTCCAAGGGGTTCTTACTAATGTTCCCTTGCAAAGGACCCCCTATTATGGATTCCTTGTTCACGATTCTGTACTAAGGTTTCTGGACCAAGGTTTTCTTAGTGATAATGAATTTGTTCTTACGTAATATTCTTCACCATTGGTTCCTTATGCGGATTCCTCCTTACTCAGGGTTCCTGTTCAATGACCCCTCACCACGGATTCCCTACTAAGGACGCTTTCTCAAGAGTTCCTGTATAATGATCACCTACAGAGTTACGATGGGTTCCTACCGAAGGATTCCTCATTGAGGATTATTAAGGGTTCCCCACTGAGGATTCCTCACTAAGGATTTCCCCGTAAGGATTCCGCACTGGGGTCTCTTCACTAAGGATTCCCCATTCAGGATTCCTCATCGTGGCGGAGGAGAGGGAGGAGTGGGGGGGAGGGGGAAAAGGTGGAGGAGGCCTCTCCCTTCAAAACGGCCTAAGACGGTAGGCCACGGAGTCCCGCGGCGAGTTGTTTTATCAACGCTGGCGCGATCACCCCGACGATTGGGGCGTCGAGAAGCTGCGGCACCTGAAGGATGCCATGCGGCAGGTGGGGCTCAACCTGGCGTGGGAGTGGGGGGCGCGCCTCAGGCGGTGGCTTCGGCGTCGTTCTCCGCTTCAGCAGGGCCATCGATCGTGGCTTTCCGAGCGACGTGTCTTCCTGCATCCTCCGTAACTCTCAGCTCCAGGAGTTGGCTGACAATCCCCATGAGTTCGAGGCCGCGCCTCGGTGAAGATCCAGCGCGCAAAGGGCCGCGCCTTGGAGCCGGCGCCCCATCGAGCGCTGGGCGAGTTCGGTAAGTTCCATGCTGGGCCTATGGGAAATGGCGCTTCTGAGGTAGCCAAGGCGCGGGCCCAGCTCAGCAGGCTCATCGTTCGGCTCTGGCCAGGGCGCGCCTCGACGCTGGACTGCGTCCCCGGCCAGGGGCGCTTCGAAGGTGTCTCGGCGACGAGGTGTCGATGGAGGTGGGCTGAAGGAGTGGCTTGAGCACCGCCCCCTCGCCCACCTGAGGCCGTGCCCGCGGTGCAGAAAAACACACTGTCAGAGCTGCCATCCGCGGATCTTCCTGCTCGTCGCCGGGGGCCGACGGGCTCCCGCTCCTGGCCCGGCGGCGGATCGTCGAGGCACGTGCCGCGGAGACAGTGCATGAAGTCTTCGGGGGCATCTGCAGCGAGGGCGGCTCGCGACGCCTTCGAGAGTTTTCTTCCGAGGGCTTCAAACCGCAGCCTCCTGTTCCTCATCCCGAGGGGCCCGCCAGAGAGAGCGGGCCAAGGCGAGGCGCGTCACGCCGTGGGCACGGTCAGGCCGCCGAGTGTCACAATTGCTGCCAGTAGGCTCCTGGCCAACGCGGCGCGCGCGGCGGTGGTGGATCCCCCCTTCGCTGCGGGGATTCCTCCCCGGGAGGTCCATGCTCTCCATCTTGGTGGACGTTGGGGGCTACTTGGCGCAGCGCTGCGTGGACAACGACGGGTCGATGGCCATCTTCTTTGATTTTGACCCCGCTTTCCCGTTTGTTGAGCCTGGCTTCCTCCTCCAGCTACTCCGGCATTTTGGTTGGCCCTAGTGGCTCCTCCGCTTTGCTGGCGCTCTTTATCAGACACTCACTGCGACACTGTATCAGAGGGCGCGATGTGTACCGGGTTCAGCCTCGCGCGCGGGGTCCGCCAGGGATGCCCTCTTTCCCCTGTGCTCTTCGCCGTCGCTTCGTATTTTGCTCCCATGTCGTATCCGCCGCCTTGTCCCGGCGGCGCTGGAGTGGGCGTGCGCGGACGACCTGTTATTTTCGTTGCCCGTGCCGTGGAAGAACCTGCCGACGCTGCACCGTATTTTCTCGGAATGTGCACGCATCTTCGGCTTGAAGTTCAACTTCGCTAGTGTGTCACTGTCCCCCTCTTCGGCTATGACGAGCTGGACCCTTGGGCTCAGGTATCACGCCGTGCAGCGGCGTGGGGGGCAATGGGTATCAGGGGCACAGCGAATTACCTGGCTTTCATCCTGGGCCCCAGTGCCATGGAGGAGTCGTGGCAGGCGCCATTCGCGAAGATGCCAGAGCTAGCGGTGGCCCGTGGCAAGATTGGCATTGGCCTCTTTCGCAGTTGCGCGGCCTACCGCGTGTTTGTGGAATTTGTGGTTCTGTTCGTAGCTCTACCTCGGCCTCTACAAGCGGTGTTTGACGCTGTGGAGCGGCGAGTGTGCACCAAACTCGCATGTTGGGACAATCCCAGCGGCTATGAAGCAGCTCCGCAGCCCTGGCTTTCCCTGCGTGGACTTTCGGTGCGCGGCGGTGGCGGCTCATCGCAGGCCTAGAGATTGACACCAACACCAATATCGGCGGTGGGGACGAAGATCCCGATCTCGGTGATGGTGGTAATATTCTGGCTTCCAAGGTGACCGAAATATTACCACCAGCGCGGAAATCTAGGACCATCTCCCCCTGGTGGAGGCAACCCTCCGTGTTGGTGTTGGTGCCCATTCCCGGGCCTCCAAGCTCAGGCTCGTGTTTGAAATTGCGGGGCGCTGCGGTGAGGCGGGCTGCAGCGTGCGCGGGAGGGCGCGCCGGCTCCGCGATCGCCTCCAGGACGCCGAGCGGCGCTTCTACACTGCCGTTTTTAATACATGCTCCGCGTGCGGATCATGTATTAAACATGCAGGGGGTTACTATTAAAAACAACGATGAGTTCATGCATCACTTCATCCATGAATTAATCATGTATTAAACATCCCATATTTTTAAAAGTCCCATGTTTTTAAAACTGCCCTGTACCCTGCAGCTGTTGAGGCGTGGCTGGCGGGCAACACTTTGTTCGTCCCGGAGGCTTCTGCCGACCGTGTGGAGCGAGCGGAGTGGCAGATCGGACTGAGGAGCACGCTGGCCATCCAGGGGGAGGACCTGCTTCCCACCAAGGCGGGTTGGCAAGCCAGCCGATGCCAATCGCTGCTCGCAGCTTGTGCGCATTCCAGCTGTCCTTGGCCAGAGCGCCACGCCGTGCGTCATGGCCGCGGCGTGGCGCGCGGCTCTCCACGGCTGGCTCGCGACGGCGCGCTTGCAGCAATGATATTTGTACGTCTTTGGATGTCCGGGCGGATGCCATCCTCCTGCGCCTCCGCCTCCGCCTTCACCTCCGTCTCCGCCTCCGCCTCCGCCTCCTCCTCCTCCGCCTCCTCCTCCTCCGCCTCCTCCGCCTCCGCCTCCGCCTCCTCCTCCGCCTCCTCCGCCTCCTTCTCTTCCTTCTCCTCCTCCTCCTCCTCCTCCTCCTCCTGCAACTTGTGGACTGTATCGTCGCCGGTGTAGGCTGGCGTGGCCCCTCGCGCGGCCGCCCTTCCGAGGTGCGCCTGCAGTGCTCTCTCTTCGGCTTCTCTTGCTCGACGGGTTCTCGAGGCGGAGAGCCAAAAGCGCACACCAGCGACGAGCTGCGCGCCGTGAGAGTGGTGTGCATGCACGTGCTGTGCAGGGCGCACTCTGCGGTACGGCACAGCGCCGTCTCGCGGCCCGAGGCGGGGCAGCTCTTCCAGGCCACGGTGCGCGAGGCTTCCTCCCGGGAGCCTCCCCGTCGGTTGCTCGCCAGGCCTCGGCGCTGGCAGCCGCGCGCCGGAGCGCGTCTTGCTCCTCCGCCTCTGGTCTCTCTCCTGCTGCTTCTGCGTGGCAGCCGTGTTTCTTGCCCAGGCTTTTGGCTCCGCGCCGTGGCCGCTGCCACCTCTCGCTCCGCGCTGCTGCTTTGCGGGCCCCCCGGACCCATGGTCTCCGTAGGCGCCCCCACCAAAAGGGCCGAGGTTTGAAGATTCGCTGGTCTTCCTCCTCCAGGCCTGTGCGCAGCATCGGCCTGCAGCGCCTGGGCCCCCAGGGCGTTCCTTCCAGAGCGCCTGTTTTGGCAAGCGCGCTGCCCACTCCCCTTCCTCCTCCTCCTCCTCCTCCTCCTCCTCCTTTTTTCCTTTTCCCCTCCTCTTGTTCATGTCGGGACTTTGAGTCGACGCGGTCATTCACGGAGCTTGGCCTCTGATAGCTTCATGTGCATGCTTAGCAGTGCTCACGTGAGCTCTGTTGCGCGCAACGGCTCGCCTATTGCAGGTTGGCTTGGCCGCTGCTCCTGATTCGTCGCCTCCTACATCCAGCAGAAACCCGGCCGGGGGTTCCCGCAGCTTGCGTGGCTATTCATTTGGGGGTCTGCATTGGGAAGGATACGTGGTGCAAGTGCAATCCATGGTGTCCAACTTGTGTTTTGTAATATATGTGGTGCAACCCAGGTGGAGCAATCTGTGTGATGCAATATATGTGGTAACATCTGCGCGGTGCGCAATCTGTGCGTTGCAATCGAGGTGGTGCAGTCAAGCTGGTGCAATGAATGTCGGGGTATCTGTGGGGTGCAACCTATGGTGGCGCAATATATGTTATACAATCTTTGCGGTGCAGTCTACGCTGTGCAATATATGTTGAGCAATCTATTCTTTGCATCGCACAGGTCTGGGGCATTGCAAAACAATACGAGGCAATGCCGAGCAACGCAAAGCAATGCAAAGCAGCGTCAATCAACGCACAATTGCGCAATAATGCAATGCAGAGCAACGTAACGTAAGGTAAAGCAAGACAAAGCAATGCAATGCTTGTCAAAGCAACGCAAAACAATACAATGCAATGCGGTGCAAAGCGTTGCAAAGCGATTCAACGAAACGCAAAGCAATGCAACGCAAAGCAACGTAATGCAAAGCAATGCCATTCGAAGCAATGCAAAGCACGACAAAGCAATGCACAGAAATGCCAAGCAGTACACCATAACGCAAAGTAATGCAACGCAGCGCAAAGCAACGCAACGAAATGCCACACAACGCAACGTAAAGCGACACGAAGCAAGACAACTCAACCCAATGCAAAGCAATGCGAATCAACGCAATGGGAAGCAACTCAAAGGAATGCAACGCAGTGCAAAGCAATACCAAGCAATTCGCAGCATCGCAAAGCACTCCAAACCAGTACAAAGCAACACAATGCAGCGCAATGCAAAGCAACGCACAGAAAAGGCAACGCAATACGAAGCAACGCAATGAAAGGCAATGCAGCGCAAGTCAAAGCAATGCAACGCACGGAACATCAACGCAATGCAATTCCAAACATACGATGCTTGCAAAGTAGTGCCTCGCAAAGCAGTGTACGTCAATGTAAACCAAAGCAACGCAATTCGAATCAAGACAAAGTAATGCCCAGCAATGCCAAACCATGCGAAGCAACGCGAAGCGACGTTAAGCAATGCCATGCAAAGCAGCGCGAAGCAACACACAGCAATGCAAAGCGACGCAATGCATACCAGCGCAATGCGCAACAACGCAAAGCCATACACAGCAATGCAAACGTATGCACAGCAATGCAAAGCAATCCAGAGCACCGACAAGCAATGCAAAGCAGCACAAGGAACTGCAAAGCAGTGCAGAGCAACGCACAGCAGCCTATGTGGTGCAGTCTAACGGCGGCAACGAGCGGCGACGGGGCGGCGACGGGCCGCGACGAGGCGGCGACGAGGCGGCGACGGACTCCACGTGGCCGCCAGACCGACCTTCAGGCCCAGACGACGGGCGGCGACGAGGCGGCGTCGGCGGCTACATAGCCACCGGACCGACCTTCAGGCCCAGTTCGTGAGAAAAGGAATAAGAACCCCTTCGAGCGAGCGCTGTTTGGGGAATGTGCTGGATTGTTTTGGGCTCCACACGAGAACACAGTGGGCCCAAACTTCACATTCTGTGGTGGATGGCAGCCCGCGCTGCCCGTCCATTCCAGTTCATGTTCAGAGGCCAGTTTCAAGGACCGTGATCGGCTGTCGAGATTACCTCCCGCCATCGTGGTCGACGAACTGGCGCGCCGCAGCGCACTGGCCTTCCTCTCTACATCTGCGCCTTATAAATGTTGCTCGAATTTTCCCCCTCACTCTGTCCGGAAGATTTCCAGCCCTCTCCGCGTTTTTCTACATCATTTTTTCAACAGGTCCCTCAAGCAGTGCTTGCCCTCAGGGGATTTTACTTCTTAACGAACTGGGCCTGCCCGTCGGTATGGTGGCTACGTGGTCGCCATCGCCCCCCCGTCGCCGCCTCGTCGCCGCCCGTCCTCTGAGCCTGTTCGTCGGTCTGGCGTTCATGTGATAGCCGTCGCCGCCCCGACGCTCTGGGCCTGCCCGTCGGTCTGGCGACTACGTGGTCGCCGTCGCAGCCCCGTCGCTGTGGGCCTGCGCTACTTTGCATGGCGTTGCTTTTCGCTGCTTTGCGCTGCATTGCGTTGCTCTGTGCTGTTTTGAAATGCTTTGCGATGCTGCGCATTGCTTGGTGTTGTATTGCCTTGCTTTACATGGCCTTGCGTGGCATTGCTTTGCGCTGCCTGGTATTATTTTGCACGGCTTCTCACTGCTTTTCGTTGCTTTGCATTGCGTTGCAGTGCTTCGTGCTTGTTGAAGTAGTTTGCGTTGCTTTGCATTGCTCTGCATTGATTTGCATTGATTTGTCTTGCTTTGTATCGCTTTGCATTGCTCTGCATTGCTTGGTATTGCTTTGTACGGTTTCGAATAACTTTGCATTGCGTTGCACTGATTTGTATAGCTTTGCATTGCTTTTTGCTGATTTGCAATGCCTTGCATTGCCTTGCATCGCCTTGCATTGCTTTGCATTTCTTTGTACTGGCTTGTACTGCGTTGCATTACCTTGCGCTGGTTTGCACTTGCTTTGCATAGCTTTGTGCCACATGGATTGCATCACATGGATTGCACCACCTAGATTGCACCAAATTGATTGCACCACCCAGATTGCACCGCATACAGTGCAAGAGATCACTGTTTGGGGTCCACGCTGGCTGGTATCTTTTCTTACGAGCCAATTCGACTGTTTCCGATGTTTCAAAACGTTGCTCCCGCTGCAGCGTGGGCCTCATTTGTGGATCGGCGCTTTGCTCCCGTCGTTCGGAGTGGCGCTCTCGCCCCAGCGCGGGCCACTTTTCTGGATCCGATCCTCCGCCTTCACCTGGTCCTCCTGCTCCTCCCGCTCCTTCCGCTCCAGTTCCTTCTGCTGCTGTTCGTCCTCGTCCTTCTCCGTCCTCCTCCTCCTTTTTTTTCTCCTGCTCTTCCTCGTGCTCACCCGCCACCTCCTCCTCCTCCTCCTCCTCCTCCTCTTCCTATGTACGCAGCTCCCCTTCCCCGATTGCGCATGACACGATGAGGTCTTTCTTGGAGGTCCAGGTCGGCTATGACACGCGTCCGCGAACAGAGAAAAAACAACGCAGCGGACAGGGATGGGCGGGAGGGGGGCATAGGATGTCAGATTTGGCGCGAGCGCACCTAGCTTGCCTCCTCCTCTCTCCTCTCTCCCTTCTCGTGCTCATCACTCTTCTTCACCTCGTCCTTTCTCTCCTCCCTTCTCCTTCTGCTTCTCCTTCTTCTTCCTCTTCCTCCACCCTCGACGGTACACCCTATTCCCTCCTCCCTGCATCATTATTATTTTCCTCATCCTCCTCCCTCATCCCTCTCGCCTCTCCTCGCTACATCTTCGTCCCTCCTTCCTCGTCCCTCGCCAATCCTGACCTGCCTCCTTCTCCTCACTCCTGTCTCCTCCCTACTCCCTGCGCCCTGCTCCATCTCCTCCTCCTCCTCCCTTCCCTCCTCCCTCCTCCTCCCTCCTCCGCATCCCTCGTCTCGCCTGCCTCCCTGCTCCTTCCGCCTCCCTCGAGGACTGGGGGAGGGAGGAATCCTGACCCCCCGCTCCCTCGAGGCGGCGGCAGAGGCGGGACGGCGTGGATCATCGCGGGCCTCTTCCTCGGGTACGGCTTCTACAACACGCTGCGCGGGTCGTTCCCCAACCAGATGCACCGGATCGCGGCGGACCTGGACATTCCGATCAGCCAGATCGGGCTGCCGAGCTCGCTCTTCTCCGCGTTCTACGGCGTGGGGAAGTTCTTCGGCTCCATCCTCACCGACTACCTCCCGTGCGCCGAGTTCCACGCCCTCGGTGTCCTCCTGTGCGGCATCAACGTCGCTTCCATCGGCCTGTGCAGCGGGATTACCAGCATCGCCTCCATGTGGGGCCTGCAGGGTGCGCTGCAAGCCCTGGGTTGGCCCTTCCTGGCGCGCGTCCTGTTGGATAAGCTGCCGAAGGACCAGTGCGCGAAGTACTGGGGGCTCCTGTCCATGGCGTGCAACGTGGGCGCGATGGCGGCCCCGTACTGCGCGGTGATGGCGGCAAGCCTCGGCATGTCCTGGCGCAGCACCCTCTGCAGCTTCGGAGCGTGCTCCGCCCTTGTCGCGCTACTGGTCCACCTGATGCTGCGGCGAGGAGGAGCGAGAGGCCGCCCGAAGGCCGCGGCGGCCGCCGCGGAGTCTGGCAGTGGCGGCGACGCGAAGGGCGCGAAAGCCGATCCAGGCAAGATGGTCCTGCGCGCTGCGCTGCCGGGCATCCTGTGCAATCCAGTGCTGGTAGCCCTCTGCCTCTGCAACAGCCTCAGCTTCGGCGCCTCCAAGTGCACCAAGGAGTGGGGCTCGATGTACCTGCGCGGCACCAGCTTGGCCGCCACGGAGATGCAGTCGGCCACCCTCCTGTTCTGGGCTGAGGTCGGCGGATCCCTGGGCGCCGCTCTCTCAGGCGTGGTCTCGTCGAGCCTGGGCGGGCGCCATGCGCTGACGTGCCTGCTGTCGGCGCTGCTGGGGCTGGCCTCCACGTCTGTCCTGGCGCTGAGGGCCTCCTCGTGGACGGGCCAAGGCGACGGCCCGCTGCCCTTTGGCGTGGCCTGCGCGCTGCAGGCGTGCAGCCTGGCGGGCATCAATGGAGTCCGCACGCTCTCTGGGCTTCACCTGGCCGAGGCCGCGAGGCACCTGGACCTGCCGCTGGGCCTCGCCAGCGGCTTCGGGGAGCTCATCGGCCAGGTCGGGTCCGTCCTCTCTGGCATGCCGGTGGGCGTGGCGGTGGACCGCACGATGGCCGCGGCCGCGGCGGCGGGCTTCGCTGGCGACCACGCCACG